AAAAAAAAAAAAAAAAAGCAATAAATACAAAAGCCTAGAACTGAAATCAAGCTGTAAAGGAATTAGTTGTAATCCAATCAAGAGATGAAAGACAGGAGGGAGGGGGAAGCGGATGGAAGATGGAGAGAATACGGTGTCCTGAAAAGACCTCCTTTCATTTTGTCCTTTTTCCAAATAATTACCTGGAGCAATCACCATGTGGGCTCCTGAATCAAGATGCCAAAGAAAAAAGCTGGAAAGCGAAGACAGAGAGACTTCTGTCCTAAGAGGAGCTCCCAGGGTAGGAGAGAGACATACCACTTGCAGGCAGTTGATAAGTGCTGTGGGAGAATACTACAGCAACACAATGGGGACACTGCAGTGGGGCTTATTGGTAGTAGAACAATTAATTGCTTTAGCACGTTGAGGCCCTGGGTCCATTCCCAGCAACCCAAAAAATGGTGTGGTTAAAGTTAAAGGAATATGGATACAGTGGGCCAGGGAGCCACTGAGGTCAGAAGAGCCCTCCAGACAGCCAGAATAGCAAGTGTCAAGGTCCTGAGGTCAGAGGGTGTCTGGGATATTCCTGGAAGGGTACCAAGTCAGAGAAGCCAGGAGAACAAAAGGAAATGGGTGGAGGGAAGGAAAGGGGAGGAGAACATGGGACCAGGACAGCACTGACCAAAGGAGGAACCTAGGCATGAGACTGATGTCTGGGTTAGCGCTGGTGCTGGGAAAATAGAGACGGGGAGGGGAAGGGGACTTTAAGTCAAACCCTGGTCCAGCCCCACAGAAAATCTGCAGAACCAGTCTGTTCTAGGTGAATGCAGAGGGAAGAGCTTATCCAGATCATGGAGAAGACCAGGGGGACATAGGTAAAATCCTGCAGGTTTTATCACATGCCCTGGAAAAGACCTTGCTTATTTTATTTATTTATATATGACAGATAGCTAGGGATGGAACCAGACTATATCCCCAGTGTAGAGCTATGTCCCCAGATCTAGATCTGCTTGATTTTAATCATTGCACAGGCTTGTATGTTTTTTTCTTTGGGTTTTTTTTTTGTTGTTGTTATGTTTTGTTTTGTTGTGGTTGTTTGAGACAGGGTCCCACTGTAATCCACACTGGACTTGAACTCATAATCCTCCACCTGAGCCTCTGAAGCCCTGGGACACCACCATGCTAGGAGCCTTTATATTTTTATAATCTAAAAAAACACAGAAGCTGGCTACGGGCTCATCCCTGTAATTCTAGCTATTTGGGAGGCTGAGATCAGGAGGATCTTGGTTAGAGGCCAGCCCAGGCAAATAATTTACCAGACACTACCCCCTCCCAACTCCAACATAACCAGAGCAAAATGGACTGGAGGTATGGCTCAAGCAGTAGAGCACCTGCTTTGCAAACATGAAGCCCTGAGTTCAAAACCCAGTCCCATCCAAACAACAACAAAAATTCCAGGCTTCCGCTAGACCTACCAGTTTTCCACAAATGTCCTTTTTCTGGTCCAGGTTTCCACATTCATTCAGTCCTGTGTCTTTGGTCTCCCCCACTCTGTGGCAGACAGCTCGGGCAATGGTCTGGAGTTTTGATGTCTGTCCTTCGATGTGAACTTATCTAGTATTTTTCTTATCAGTGGCCTGTGGCCATGGGTTCCTGGAAGAAACCCCAGAAGGGTCGGGCCCTCAGACATTAGCACAGTCAATGGCACAGGTGCAGTCTGTGATCAGAAGATTACCAAATTCTTAGTATCCCACCAGAAAGAATCCATTGCGGGACACGTGGGTGTAAGGGGAGTTTATTAAAAGTTAGGGAAGAGAAATACAGAGGGAAGCATGGTGAGGCCCAGGTGGAAGCCAAGAGAGAGCATGTGTCTTTGGGTGCTTTTAAAACCTTCGATAACCTATGGGAAGGGGAGAACCAGGTGATTTTCATCCAATAATCAAGGAGAGGGGAGGGCATGGGTGGCTCCCGGCCAGGTGAGGGCAGTGTTTGAGCCAAAGCTTGGGTAATCTAAGATGTAATATTTTTCTGAGTCCCAGAATTTTCCCTACTTTAGCCTGCCTCAAATTTCCCCTGAGAGACAATATTCAAAAAACTTCTTTTTGGGGGTTGCTGCTTCGCACTGACAAGGGGCAGAAGACCCTATCTACAAGGGGGAATTGTCTCTCCTATTTCTTTCCCTCAGGGCTCATTTGGACACAAAGGTCTCAATTATTGTTTATAAACAACTATGTTTGGAGCAAGGGAAGTTTTTACAAGTGAATAAAAAATTAAAAAGAAAAAAAAAACACCACCAAAAACCCAAATCAAGGAGCTAGGCAGAACAAAGGCTAGGAATTTTAAACAGAAATCTGGAGGGTGAACTTTTGTTTGGTTTTGGTAAAATTTTGTATCAGCCTGTAGCACCAAAAATCCCCGACAGTCATTTTGATAAAACCAAAAACCATTTTCAAACATACATTAATACCTTAAATTTTGACCTCAGAAAACTTTCTTGGCAAACTTTAAACTATAACCAACCCAATCATACATAGAAGGTTGCTCATGGAGATCACGCTCATTTGTAGGATGGATATAGCCTTCTCATCCATCTCTATGGTGGTTGCCTCATGATATAAGTAAGCCACCTTGACATTTCATGGCATTCATCTGAGCCAAGTCTGTAGGGTGGGCTGGTGCCAGCCAGGTGTATCCACTGTAAAGTTATTTTTCATCTTTCCATATCTTATTCTTTGGATGAGGGTCACTAAGTCCAGATAACACTCAAAAGTAGGAGGGGAGGCCTGGAGGAAAGTTATATTCCCTGCAAAGGGGAGGGGTGGTAAAGATTGGGTGGGGATGAAGAAGAGAGGGTGTGTGTTATTTATATTCTTTGGAGTTCAAATGCATTGTAGCCTTTTCTTTTTCTTTTGGTGGTACTGGGGTTTGAACTCAGGGCCTCAAACGCTTGCTAGCAGGAGCTCCTATCACTTGTGTTAGGTATTTTAGAGATATGGTCTCTTGAACTAATTGCCTGGGGCTGGCTTTGAATCTCTATCCTCCTAATCTCTGCCTCCTGAGTAGGTAGGATTATAGATGTGAGCTACCAGTGCTCAGCTTCCCAGCCCTATTTTAATTTTTAATTTTTGTCATGCTGGGAATGACCCCAGGGCCTGGAGGGAGCTAGGCAAGTGCTCTACCACTGAGCGGCAGCCCCAGCCCTTTATAGCTTATCTATCTACTTTGGACAGCACCCTCCCCAAAAAATGGGGGACAGGGTCTCTCCCCATGCAGCCTAGGTTGACCTAGAACTCTATGTATCCCAGGCTGGCCTTGAACTCTCGATCCTCCTGCTGGAATTACAAATGTGCATCACTAAACCCAGTTTTATACCCATTTTAAAGACTTGGAGACTGAAGTTGAAGATAACAGACCACCTTACTAGACCTTGACCCAGCCCAAGATTGAGGCTCCTCCAACGCTGCCACCAAGACTTTGGGTGCCCCAAGTGTGGCAGGCGGGTGGTCTGTTATTCCCTACGGGCATCTAGGGGAGGTGGAAATCCGGGCCCAGCGCCGCCCTCCCAGTCCAAGTCCAGCCTAGAGCATGAGTCTGGGGTCACCTCCTGGGGGGTCTTTAACCCATTTGGCCGGCGGGAACCTGCGCCCCAGAGGCGGTGGCTGCACGGAGACAGGAGCGGGGAAGCGAGGCGCCCGCCCTCTGCAAGGCTCACCTGGGCTGGCCGGGCCTGCAGGCAGGGCGGGCCACTCGCCGCCTCCTTAAAACCAGGGCAGCTCGGAGCGAGCCGTGCAGATCTGCAGCTCCGCTCAGGGCGGCTGTACTTGGCCTTGACCTTGGACCCCGAGGGCAGGTGAGATCCGCCCGGGCCGGTTTCCCCCTCGCCCCCACCCCCCCCCCAGCAGGAGGGGTCTCCACCTGCCAGTGTCACACACTTCCTTCCTGTTTGTCCTGGCTGCGAGATTGGGGGGGAAACCAACCCAACCACAAGCCCTCCGGGTGACCCAGGGGAGTTACTGACTGGCCCTCTCTAAAGCTGTGTCCTTGGCGTTGAATGAGGGGTCCGAATCAGCACTGGCAGGGACTGGAGCAACTGTTTGTGAGTGTTGGGGGAAATGCCTGGGCGGTGTCCCAAGCAGAGGAGGGAGGCAGGGAGGGGAGGAGCAGGCCACAGCCAGTCACACTACTGAGCCCTGCTCTTCTTGGTCCACCCAGGGCTGCAGCCAGTTCGAGGGTCAAAGGCTGCTGTCACATGGCGGGTCCCCAGAGACCTCTTGCTGGGGGTTCCTCCTGCTGGAATGGGGCTGTGAGGGGAGGGGAGGGGAGGGTGTGGGCAGAACTTCCTGGAAAAGGGAGTCAGTGCTGTGAGCGTGGTGTGTGGTGGGGGAGGCCTGGGACACACCCTCAGTGTGCCAAAGACTCACAACTCCCTTTAGAGACGCTACACTTTTCAAATACAAAACACGCACATGTCACAGACAGGCCACACAGGATGTGCATGTTCAGCAGACATGTCTCCACAGACCCAGAACTCCCAGGCATGGAACAGAGGGACCCAGTCAGGCTTGCCCAGCTGCACACAGGAAACAGTGACACCCAGACCCCAGCAGGCAGGCGTGTCTGTGTTGAACACAGATGGCAAGATGCACGCAAGCCCACACACAGCCACAGCTGCACACATCCGCATACATGCACGCGTGCATACACACACACACACACACACTCAGGTACAGAGACACACACACACACACTCAGGTACAGAGACACACACACTGGCTACCTACACACACTGGTCTACAGACACCCTCAGGTACACAGATACACACAATCTCTGCCTATAGCACACATGTCCTCACAGGCCACCTCAGAAGCAGTACAGGCAGCACTCTTTCCCACGCCAGCCCAGCCCTCCCACCCCCAAATCCCGTGTCCAGTTCTGGGGAAGTCCTGGGCTCACATGACCCAGCGGGAAGGCTGCTGGGACGGTCCTCGGAGAAACTGCATCATCTTCTCCAATCATCGCCTTCTGCCCCAGGGAATAAAGGCACAGTGACTGCCAGTTCTGTCCCAGAGTGGAGCCCACCTGCCGCTTGCAGCCCCTCAAGGACCAGCTTGTGCATCCCACAGGGTGAGTGATGGGGACAGGGGACAAGGGAGGGTGGAAGGTGCCTGCAGGGCCACACTTCCTGGCCACTTTCATATAGCCTTTCCAGCAGGGCCATTTCTTACCACAATGTCCTGGAAACTGGGACACAGAGGGGCACCTGCCAGGCCAGCCCTGCAGGGTGCTGTCCCGTGTTTTCTCAGAGCAGGGCGGTAGAGATCTCAAAGGCTGGAAATTGTCTCTTCCCTCCCAGATGGACACGTGGACCACACTGCTGGTCCTACAAGCATCACTGTTGCTGTCCCTGGCTGACTGTTCCGCACCCACCCCTACCCTACGCTTTGTGGCTGTGGGTGACTGGGGAGGGGTCCCCAATGCCCCGTTCCACACAGCCCGGGAAATGGCCAATGCTAAGGAGATCGCCAGGACCGTGCAGACGCTGGGCGCCGACTTCATCATGTCCCTAGGGGACAACTTTTACTTTACTGGTGTGCGTGATGCAAATGACAAGAGATTCCAGGTGTGTATACTCTGCAGAGTCAGGGGGGTGTGGCAGTGGGGAGAAGCCACCAGATCCAGTGATCCTCCTCTGGGCAGGGCAGAGAAGTGGACAGGGTTACCTGCAGGGACCTGGAGTATTCGCTGACTCCCTCGTACCTAGCCCCTGGTTTTTTGGGATCATCAGGATAGCTGTTGACCCCAGAGGACTGTCTGTCTGCTACAGGAGACCTTTGAGGACGTGTTCTCAGACCGTTCCCTTCGCAACGTACCCTGGTACGTGTTGGCTGGGAACCATGACCACCTTGGCAACATTTCAGCTCAGATTGCCTACTCCAAGATCTCCAAGCGCTGGTGAGACTCCCCTGCTGGCTCCCACAAGACCCTTGCACCAACCCGTGTGCTTCTCTGCTCACAGCATTCACACACAACCTCTCTGTCCTCTACAGGAATTTCCCAAGCCCCTTCTACCGCCTGCATTTCAAGATCCCACGGACTAACATGTCTGTGGCCATCTTCATGCTAGACACAGTGGTGTTGTGTGGCAACTCAGATGACTTTGTCAGCCAGCAGCCCACGATGCCCCAAGACCTGAATGTGGCCCGCAGTCAGCTGTCCTGGCTTAAGAAACAGCTGGCAGCGGCCAAGGAAGACTATGTACTGGTGGCCGGCCACTACCCTATCTGGTCCATCGCTGAGCATGGGCCCACCCGCTGCCTGGTCAAGCACTTGCGGCCACTGCTGGCCACATATGGAGTCACCGCCTACCTGTGTGGCCATGATCACAATTTGCAGGTGAGGGCCTTGTGGGTAGGACAGGGAACCAGGTAAGGGGTCCTTACCTGCCTACATTTTGCACATGGCTGAGGTCTGCCTGCTGCTTGGAGGCCTCCTGTAGGTCAATACCCCCAATCTTGGGACTTGGGGTATAACTCGGTGTAAGAGCATTTGCCTAGCATGCATGAAGCTCTGAGTTCTAACCACAGCATCGGGGAGGGGGGGGGAATCCCTTAAAAGCCATAACAAGGCTGGGTGTGGTGGTGTGTGCCTATAATCCCAGCTACCCAGGAGGTGGAGGTAGGAAGATTGCAGTCCAGATGGGCCCCTGGGGAAAAAAACTGGAGGCCCTATTTGAAAAATATCTATAAAGAGTTTGGGGTTGTGGATCAAGAGGTAGTTTGGAAGTACGAAGTCCTGAGTTCAAACCCCAGTACTGCAAAAAAAAAAACCACAAAACTCCACAATAATACCTACGGGTTGCTAGTTGCTTACTATGGGCTACTGTACCTGTAAAACAGAAGTAAAGCACTCCTGCAGGTGCTAATGGAGCCCCTGGTGGGCCCCAAGACAGGGCTGGGGTCTTCACCGACCCTGTCCTCTTTCCCCAGTATCTTCAGGATGAGAATGGTGTGGGCTACGTGCTGAGCGGCGCAGGGAACTTCATGGACCCCTCAGTGCGACACCAGCGCAAGGTCCCCAACGGCTACCTGCGGTTCCATTATGGGTCTGAGGACTCACTAGGTGGCTTTGCCTACGTGGAGATAAGCCCCAAAGAAATGAGTGTCACATACATCGAAGCTTCAGGCAAATCTCTCTTCAAAACTAGCATCCCGAGGCGAACCAGGCCCTGAACACCCAGGAAGGTCCTGCTCTGCCCACTGTGGGGCCTAAGACAGGAGCCACCGGCAAGCGTGGTGGGTGGGCCCTGTGGGGTCCCCTCCCACAGACAGGCTTTCTCTTGGGCCCCCAGTGTTCCAGCAGAGGGGGAAGGAAAGGCACAGGTGGTCACATATGTGAAAGAACATGAACACATGTCCCAGCCAGTGGGGACTCACACCCCAAGGCCAGGCTGAGTTTTGGAGAGTGGACGGTGGGGGGCAGGGATTCTCCTGAATCAAGCATCTTTCTGTCACTGCCATTCAATAAAGGAATAGTTGTAAAGCTGCACTTGTGTCTGGATTGTGTGTGTTGTCAGGGTAACAGCGTCTGGAATTCCCAGTGTCTCTGCTCATCTATAATTAACGGGCTCAGTCGTGTATTTGGTTTTTAAGGAAAAACCAAGAACCAGATATAATGATACACCCTTGTAGTACCAGTTACTCAGGAGGCTGAGGCAAGAGGAATGATTGAGCCCAAGAGTTCAAGACCAGCCTAGGCAACAAACCAAGAGCCCATCTCAAAAAACAAAACAAAAAGCCAGGTGCTGGTGGCTCACATCTGTAATCGTAGCTACTTGTGAGGCTGAGATTTGGAGGACTGAGGTTCAAGGCCAGCCCAGGCAGATAGTTCAAGAAATCCCATCTCCAAAATAACCAGAGCGAGAGGAGGTGGGGCTCAAGTGATGGAGCACCTGCTATGCAAGCATGAAGTCCTGAGTTCAAACCCCAGTCCTACCAAAACAAAACAAAATCACACACACACACACACACACACAAAGAACAACCACAAAAAAAAAATATATATATATATATGCCACCAAGAAATCTTCCAGGCTAGATCTATAAACCTCCTTCTTCAAAGGAGGAAACCATCACTTCCTTTTATTTATTTATTTATTTTAATTTTCAAACAGTCTCATTGCGTAGCTCTGGCTGTCTTGGAACTCTGCCTCCTGAGTGCGAGGGTTACAGATGTGAACCACCACATCTGGCTACCATTATAATTTTCTTTCCTTCTATAGTTGCCTGCTCCTTTAAAAAAATTGTTTCTGGGGGACTGGGGTTCGAAGTCAGGGCTTCACACTTGAAAAGCGGGCGCTCTACCACTTGAGCCACACCTCCAGTTCGTTTTGCTCTGGTTATTTTGGAGATGGGGAGGTCTCAAGAACTATTCACCTGTGCTGGCCTTAAACTTCCATCCTCATGATCTCAGTCTTCCAAGTAGCTAGAATATCAGGCATGAGTCACTGGCATCTGGCTTCTTTCTTTTCTTTTTGAGATTTTTATCTTGCTATGTTGCCCAGGCAGATCTTAAACTCCTGGGCTCAACTGATCCTCCTGCTGCTGTCTCTCCTCTCTCCTCTCTCCTCTCTCCTCTCTCCTCTCTCCTCTCTCCTCTCTCCTCTCTCCTCTCTCCTCTCTCCTCTCTCCCTTCCTCCCTTCCTCCCTTCCTCCCTTCCTCCCTTCCTCCCTTCCTCCCT